TAGTTAATGATAGACACATATACAGTGGGTATGAACTAACAGTAAACTTGTATTTAAAATCAAATTAATGATGATAAGATATGAAAAACAGTACCAATCTATGCACATAAACTGGAAATAAGAGTCTATATTTAAAAACATCTATATTTAAATGAATGCCAAAATCAATACAAAAAAATGCACACATGATTGGAAATTACCAGTTATAGCAAAACATTGATAATACAAATACCGTGTATTTCTAGTTAACCAATGTTTGCTTCGGGGGTGGAGGGGAGTGGGGGACACGGGGTAGAGAGTGAGATAGAGTGGACACATGACACATACCCTTAAAGAGAAAGAGTCCGACCAAATTGACGACCAGACCGACAACACCGACACAGAGAATGAGGTACGGCTGATGAATCTCTTCGGGATCGTAGAACCGCTTCAACGACTCGATGAGAATCGAGAAGCAAAGGGCGCACAGGAATACGGCGTTGATTAGGGCGCCCAACACCTCAGCCCTCGCCCACCCGAACGTATTCTTTGACCACTTCTTGGGCGACATCCGTACGGACACGTAGGCGATGACCAGCGCCACCACATCCGACAGCATGTGGAAACTGTCGGCCACGAGTGCCATCGAGTTGGTCACGTAGCCCACGATGATCTCGATGAGAAAGAACGTGGTGGTCAGCGACAGCATGAATAGTAGCCGACATTTGGCCCCGCCGTGGAATAGACCCATTGTGTGATCGGTTAGGGGTGTGAGTAAATGAGTGAGTGTGCGCTCGGCGGCCCGATATCGGCGAGTATATGAGTAGATGTGTGTGCGGCCGGGGTTGCCGCGAACGGGCTATATCTCTGGCCTAGTAATCGTGAATTAACAACAATTAACGCTTAATTTATAAACTAATTTTATTTTAAATTACTTACGGTAAATTTAAGTAGCGGTGAGTAATGGTATGGTTTTGAACACCTGGTTGTTTTTCGGGTCGAGTGGCCAGAAATCGGGTGATGCAGCGGTAAAGCGATCTAGTGTTTAACTAAAACTAGTTACTATTAGTTTTAATTATAACTACCGCTAAATTTAATACAACTACAATTAAAACACATTTTTATTTCTCGCTATTAAATCACTATTTAATTAACAACACATTGTATTAATTATAGCCACACCGCTATAACAACATGGTTAAGTCACGCGTGATAATTAACACACTGAACCTGGTGAGTGATAGGTTCAACAAAATAATCACCGATCGGTAATAATAATAATAATACTCAAAACAAATGCAAAGTGAGTTTCAAAACTGTGTACTCATTGCTAAGGCATTCACTTTGCTTTGAGTGTCAAATAAAGCGAGTGCTGAACGTATCGCCTGTACTCTCGTAATAGCCTAACGTCACTAATAAAACAGCTGTAGTCGAGCATACAGTCTACACGCGTTATATTATACGTCAACCCTTTATTGAGCTATGCCTGGTATATTATTTAAATTGTTTGCACAATTAATTCATTTAGTTTGTTTTTGAATAATTATCTTGGTCAGTTTTAGCCTATTTATTGCGAGTACACTATAAATTATTAGTTTATAGCAACGAGAATGTATGTGTAAATTAAAAGAGTCGACTCAATGAGCCTATTGAATGAGTTAAGCATTTGTGTACAGATGACTTGTGGTAATATATACACTATAACTTGGTTTTATCTGATTTACTCGCTTTAAATTATTTAGATTAATTTATCACATTAATTAAAGTGTGAATATTATAATTGCTTTTATCAATTTGCATTTACCTTAATGAATATTGAGAAACGCCAATAAAAATATTTATTTGTACGTAAAACTAAAAGTTTACGTATTTCGGGACGTCTTGAGCAGTTGAGTTTTACTAAGTTTGCGCATAAATAACGTTTCAATAAACATTAACTTTTAAATTAAATAAAGTTTTATAACATTTATTATGATGTAAAATAAGTACAGGTATTTTATGGCACAATAATATAATAATCATATTATAATTTCAATCAGGCAACTCTTTCGATTACATTTATTTATTATAATTATAACACGATAAATGAACATGATTAATTAATACACACTTACAAACACACACACACTTGCACACAAAATATACATGTTTAACACATATTTTACAATACAACATAAATATAAGTTGCTTATAAATACTTTTAATTAAGTAGCATAATAAATCTATAATAGATAAATACGGTTAATGTCATTTAAGTATTCAATGAGTGTAAACATATGAATAGATTCTGTAATAATATTAGTTAAAATTATAAATACTTGTAGTTTATCTCGCAATTAAATCTCTGCGTTATTTAAAACGATAATACATTTACTTTTGCTAAAATCAATACTATTGCGCGGATTGTATGGGTCGGACGTATCGGTGCCGCAGTTGGCACTGGGATTCTGGTCAATCTCCAGGCCCTCGTCCTCTATATAGTTGGTTACACTGTTGGACATGAGTGGCCGCGCCGTATCATTGGCCACACCAGCTCGGTAATTGGCACTATCATTCATTACATCACTGCCCATATATATCGGGGACATTTTGTGCTCCACCTGATCCGCCACTTTCCTGTCCCGTAACTGTTCCTCTTCCTCGTCGGTCAGATATGTCTTGTCACTGATGGCCAAATCGTAAGTCCAGCCGCCGATTATAGCACCGATATGTGGCCCTATTATACCCGCCGACAGCCAGTACTGCCAGTTAAGTGGTCTGTCAATTGGTAATTAAAGTTTATTGAATTATAATTTATGGCAAAACAAACATCTCTCTCTCTCTCTCTCATGTCTACATACTTGAAGGCATCGAAACCATATCCGGCCAACGCCTGGAAAAGTCGTGGCCCTAAATCACGGGCCGGATTCAACACAGCGCCACAATTGAGTCCAAAGGCCACGCATATACCAGTAATAACCAGCGCCAGTACCGTTGGCTCCATATGCTTAGGTGTGGCGATACCCTTTGGATCAGTTATGGCCATCACTGCGAACATCAACAGGAACGTGGCCAGAATCTGATCGATCAAGGTGCCCGGCACCGAGATGTGCTGCGCCGGGTAGGTGGAGAAGATACCACCCGTGGCTGCCGTGCCGTTATAGGCAGTACGTATGCCCTCATCGTATGCATCAATGCCTTCATAATAGGCGCAGAATATGGCAAATGCGGCCATAAATGAGCCAAAATACTGTCCCAATAAGTAGTGGGGTATTTTGCGACATTTGAATTTGCCCATGCTCGCCAATGCCACTGTTACTGCCGGGTTTAGGTGAGCACCTGTATCGAGAGAAGTTTGTATTGATTAAGTTAGTTATTAATTTTTAAACTTGTGATTTTGTTTCTAATTATGCTCTTATTTATTATTACACAAATAATTTCAAATATGTATCAGTAGTTATTTTATAATATTAATCCAGATAAATTAAAAATGTATAAAATAATTTTTATGACTATCAAGTGTCCCAAATGAAAAATGTTCATGATCAAGTATATGGTTATAATTTTATTAAAAATAATGTTTACAGTTTATTAAAATTACAATTTGTAATTAAAAGTGGTTGATGATAAATTCTAGATGTTATTTGAAATGTACCTGATATTTTTGACGCGATTGATACACCAATCAAAACTCCTACGCCAAATGAAAAGCATACGGCAAAATGATCTACGCCAGTTTTGTTGTTTTTGTTAAGCACATAGTTGGCAATTGCACCATCACCGATACACTATATTCGGTAGATTAATTATTATTAATTTATAAAAATTATTTATAAATTAATTTCAATACTTTTCTTATTTTTTAATGTGTGACAATTTCCCATTTTATAAAACATTACCATTCAATATTTATTATTTCACAATTTATTATACAGAGTGCTTATTTTAAGTGCTCAATTAATATTTGTCAATGCAATTAATTACTTATCACACTATAAATTGTGACAATTTTAATACAGAGGCAAATATTCGTGAAAACTGACCATGAACTTATAGATTATGCTATATTTATTGTGGAATAAAAATCAACACAAATAAAAATAAAAAACATAAATACAAGTTAATTGTGTAAAAATAATTCATTGCATTAATTCTGACATTTAATTTGTCAACACATGTGGTGTTAATCAAAAGTGACAATATAATGTAAAACTTTACTTAATTTTACAAATGACATGTCTATTACGGACAATCATATTAAATATATGGTCTATTAGTGGTCAATAAATATTCTATGGATTTTAGTATTAAATTATTTTAATCAGATATAAACCACATGATGCAAGAAATGTTAAAATGGATTTTAATGCAAACAGGTTTATGATAATGTACCATATAATTTTATACCTATTAATATTGTTATATTCAAAATTATAATTAATTAAATTTTTAAATAATTAATTTCCATTAGAAAATTATGTATCATATAATGTATGCTAATTGTTATTTTTACTACTCTATAATAAACCGCGAGGAAATATTAATATCTTCTACGATCAATTTTTTATATACAAATATAAATTAATTATAAATAAGTTTTGGTATAAAACTGAATTAAATAATTGAAACCTGGTTCTAATTATAAGCCAATTTTTAGTCTAAATATTTTTTATATAAACTTAATAAAAATGCACTAAAACAATTAAGTCAAAACAAGTTAAATACAAACATAATTAACTTACCACAATGAAAAACGTGCCAAAAAACTCAGCAAAAAACTCTCGAACCCACGGGGGACGGCGTCTGGTCAACAGTGCACAGCCACCTCTGTTTCTGTCCATTTGCTCGTTGACTGTCTTATCTATTTTAATACAAAATCATACAAATATAAGTCATAAAAAGTTATCTAAACAAACAGAATATTACAGAATATTCTCTCGTCTCTCACTTACGATACAAATGTAATGAAAAGAAATATTAAGTAAACATAAGATTAAGAGAGAATTACATACTTTTCATTGAAAATGTTACGATAATTATAGCTCTCAAAAGGGCTTTCGGATAAAACTTTTATAAATTTAAACAATAATACCGTAGACTTGGTATTGTATGAAATGCGAGTGTTTTGTTGCAGAATATAGTTTGTAAATGATAATTTGTATGATTGGTTGTAAATATCTCATGTAGAGATGCATGTGCTACAGTTAAACCTCTATGAGAAGGCCTGTTCCTTTAACGTTCATTTAACGAGGTTTAACTGTATTCTCACCCAATATGCTCTTGAAATTACAGAATTATTTGCAATTTTTGGTCGGCGATTGCGTTATACACAATACAGTATTTAGTACAATGTAAGAGTCATCTGTACATTATACACATCACACCACTTCACTATACCGCATATAATGAAGGTGGTGTGTTTAATATATATTTTATGCGCAAGGTATCTCTACTGTATCTATGAGTAGTATTCTAGTGTACAGTATTCTAGGCTATAATTAGCATCATCAAACCCAGAATAATAAACAAAACAATATACAACTTTTGTAAATAGCTAAAATTTTTACAATCTCGTTTACTTACACGACTTTTATGTAGTAAACATATCAGTTTATGTCCATGTATGTAAATATATCCGCCTGGTATTTATGGGCATATATCCGGTGCTAGTGTTTGACGAATATTCTGGCAAATATGACTCAACTGTTTAGATAGTATTTTGTTGTACAGAATAATCTCCATAGGAATAGCTATTGGCCACGGATTGCATCAGAATATTCTGTAGTATATGCTGTAAATGCTATTCAATGTGTGCTCTATCTTTCTCTCTCCGTCTGATTGTCTCTACTGATGTCAAAAGCCTTATCAATTCAATGAGAGAGATAATGTAAGAAGTTATATGAAGTATATTTTGCGTCTTAATGTGTTATTTTTAGGCATTTCCATTTGTATATACTATTTGTATTTATACCAGTTAAATGCACAAATATAATGATCGATAAATAATATATTATGTGTGTTGTATTGGAGTACACTATCTAAATCTATACATTTATGTTTAGTACATTTATAATAATGCATTTACTGACATATGTTTATGTTATGAATTGCTGTAATCGCCCTAATAATTGACATACAATTATTCACGTGTAGTCTCAACAATCATTTGTCGTGTTTTTCAATAGATAATAAACCCATCAAATCATTAATATATTACAAGAATATTCTTGAGATTTATTTTTATGATTGAATATTTGGGAATATTTATTAATCATTGATATATTTTTATAACACAAAAAACACATTGAAAAATACATTTAAAAAAATATAACTTACAAAATAGTTAACAAGAATATTCTTGTAAAATGGACCCACAAATAATAATTATGTATATATTTTGAATTTATAAGAAATTGCAAAATTCAATAGAAATATTAATTAATTTTACCAACATTTATAAAAAAAACTATTATTTGCGTATATAATCAAAACTTAATACAATAACAGTAAAAGAAAAATATAAAAATAAATTTGTGTGTTTTTATTTTGAGTGTCGCTCTAATATTACTACCTTAATGGATACACTACTTGAGTGCGCGCATGTATGTTATTTTACTGTAGTACTTGTATAAAGTACTCCATATGTTTTGTAATGTACAGAATATTATTGATTTACCATTCAAGACATGATATAAAAACTTATTGAATTGACAAATAACTGTCCATAGTGATAGTATTAAATTACTAAGTTTATATTGAAGCCCAAATAATTGTAATTAAATATTTTTGGGTAATTAGATATAATTATATAATAATGCACAACGAGTTAAATGATATCATATTATGGCTAATTACTTTTATACAATAGGCAAGAGGCAAACTATATAAATTGAAAACATAATTTAGATTAATTTATAAATACAGTAAAATTAGTCAATCAATTTACAAAGTAAAGATATCTTACCTGGGTAGGGTTGTGTTGGCCCCAGACGTACAATATCAGGGTTAATATACATGGTTAAAATTGGTTAAAGTAAAAACATCTAAAATATTCCTTGCAATACGCTTTACACTAACCACTGAATCTAATTTGTTTAATGTCCAAAAACGAAATAACAATAATAGGATTGTAGTAGGAATAGGGTTTAACTAAAACAGCATAAGCTTAACATTTTAATACTAATCGATTATTTTGTCATGACAAAACATGATCATAAATGTCATTTGTTTGTGTTAACAAAATCAAAAACAACTTAAATTGCATTTAAATATTAGTATACATTCGTCGAGAGAGATGTTTTAACAGGTTTTTGTTTTGCTTCAAATAATATCTAAATCATGAATATTCTGGTGCAGTAAATATTTTCTTATGTTGTTATTAATACATTCAAAAATTGTTATTGTTTTATTATTTTATCGTTGGCAAACACTTTAATAACGGACAAAAATAGTGCATAATTTATATTTTATATACGAAACAATATTCTTTATGGTGAAAACATATGCAAATGTTTGTGTTATTTTATTATTTAACAATTAATAAATGCATACAGACTTATAGTTTATAAATGGTTATATTCTACAGTATATAGAAATAATTATAACAATTAAAAATTATTACATATATTGTTTGATAAAGTTTACAAAGTATTAATACTGTATTTTCTAGTTCAAACTAACATAGAACTGGCTTAAACTTATTTAAACAAGTTTAAACTTGGGAGATTATGTATTTTGTATAAATATTATTGCTATTTATCATGATAACTATATTTATTTTATCAATTTTTGTACTTAATTATGATATGTTATGGAGGAATCTAACAATTTCGTACATTAATAAACAATTAATATAAATTGTTATAAATGTATATTAAATTATTTTTACATTTTACAAAATTCATTTAAATATGATTAGATCGGGTTTGATAATTTTACAATTTAGACTAGATATATTTAGTAAATAATTTTAAATATTTCGTAACACGATTATTAATCATAACAATAAATGTAACTGTAACAATTTTGTAATTTTAATATATAAGATTAATAATTTATCAATTTAATTACAACTACATGAGTAACATAAAGTAAGCTGTAATAAATTATGATTTAGCATTATTAGCATAACACTTGGTAAATATATAACTTTACGGTAATCGAATACACTCTCAATTGTATTGAATTTAACATATTTTATATACAATTAACCTTACATTTTAAATCATGTTAAATAATAATTATTATAAATAAATGTGAAAAATGAATAGATGTCTCGTAAAGGAGCAATTATAAAGTATAGCATTTTTGGTATAGCAATCATTCTGTATAATAAAAATCAGAATTATAAGTAATAATTATTAATAATGTATGTTGTTAACCATATTGGTATAAAAACTTACTAATTAATTGCAGCAAATTATTCTCAACTGTTTATCATATACTAAACCCACGCCCAGTGGGCAACTGGGCCCATGCCCTAAGCTCGCTGGCAAATCAGCCCCTTTCTACTGGCGCAATGGTCAAACACCCATTTACCAGGATTCTCTGTGCGGCCCTTTTTGGTGGCATCGATGGCCACACACCGTTGGCCGGGACTCTGTTTCTTATACTGCACAAAGTTGGTCCACTTAACGTCCTGGCCGTCGATCCACCGCAACCCATGCACCTCATCATCCCGGGCCCCGATCCAGAACTGGTCGTGTGAGTGCTTGGAGGCCAACACAAGCGAATAGACTAAACGTTGCTCTTCGGTCGAGTTGATTGAGACCAGACTCAGTAGTGAATACGAGTGCCCGAAGTGGTAACTGAATAGGATTTGACAAATCTCTTTGGCCTCTTCGTACGACGCGTCAATCCCAGTGAGCACGCGGTAGCCCTTCATTCCCCGCACGAGCCAACCCTCTCGCGGGTTGAACGCCGAGTCATCGCTCCCTGTTTTTTACATACATCAGTATTATTTGTGTTTTGGTTGATGTTTAAATATGCAACTATTTTTGTGTTTTGTAATATGACATTGTGCAATTATTTTATTGATTAATATGCTAGATGTTTTTGATATATAGCGTATTCCTAATTTTTAAATGATAAATCCTTTCAACACTAAAGGATGTGACTAGTTTTTATCTGATCAGGCAAAACTCATTTATATTTTTTTTAATTTATAAATATTATCGTATTTATTTACTTTGGTTTTTAGATATTTAGAATGAGTAAGTGGTATTTAAGTGCTATAGTAATTAATATTAAATTATGATGATAATCGGTACTTTAATTTGTAAAATAATAAATTTTATCACACCTACCCTAATTGTCAATTTAGTAAAATATGTTAATATATATTTACCCTTGCAAACTTACAGCAGTTTATTTACTTTTAAAGACAATATATTATTTATAATTTATTTTGATATATAATTATACGGTATACAGTATAGAAGTACAAAAATATTACCCTACAATGATAACTCTTTGTAAAATTGTGTTGCTAAAATTCTAACAATGCTTATATTTTCCATGTCCGGCCCAGATTTTAATTTAATTGTGATATCCATAGAGTTTAGGGCATATAAAACACATCTATGTACTTTTTTAGAGATGGCATTCACTTTGGGAGGCATGAGAGGGGGTCAAATATTTTATATTTCTCATTGGTATTGTAATAAGGCAGCCAGTTTATATACGACACTATGGCCTAATGGTTAGAGTGTCCGGCTACTTAATTGCCCAGGTTCGAAACGCCACTGCACCATGTTTTATTTGTAATATTTTTTTCTCATTGGTATTGTAATAAGGCAGCCAGTTTATATACGACACTATGGCCTAATGGTTAGAGTGTCCGGCTACTTAATTGCCCAGGTTCGAAACGCCACTGCACCATGTTTTATTTGTAATATTTTTGGATTTTAATTTATGACATTTTTATCAATAAAAAATATTTATAAATTCACTTTTTTAAATATTGATTCATTAATTAATTTATAATTATAATACTATTTCAATAATCATAGACCAGTAATTACATAAAAGTGTAAAAAAATATTACAAATAAAACATGGTGCAGTGGCGTTTCGAACCTGGGCAA